CTCTAAATTGCCTAACATAGTGAGAAGACTTTACAAGGAATTCTGAGGTTCATTAGGTGTTGATGGAATCTGGGGGAGAGGAACGTGGACAGGAGAAATAGTTGGCATAGTATTTATTGCAATAGACATCAACTTCCATTTCTAGTATTAAAGCTGATTCATAGTACTTTTTGAGATAACTGCAAAGTGTCCTCTTCATTCATTCATTCCTGAAATATTAATGATACTATGTAAAATGCTGGAAGTTGGGATAGAAGTAAAATAGGCTTCCTCTTCCCAAGGAATTTACAATCTACTGCCTTAAATCTCTCGGTTTTCCTGGGCACACATATCTATCTTAGATTTAAGTAGGAATGCTTCTCTTGAAAGAGATATAGCATACTATAAGGAATGAGAACACCTACTACATGTGAGGCAGCATACTGGTCAGTGGGGACATTGTGTTCCAAGAAGTTTACTAGGGAGATATTGCATGTTTAAAGATAAGGACAAGCAAACTGTACATAAAATAAACACAGAGATTTGGGGGTGGGGTAGGGACATTAACAGCTAGGGATCTGAAGAGAGATGCCTTCAAAGGAGTTCGGGGTGCCAAGAGGCAGATTGTTGAAAGACATGACGGTCACAGCCTGAGTGAAGGCATGAAGGTGGGTGATGGAATGTCATGTATGTAGAAAAGCTAGTGAGGCAGTTTGGGTGCTGCATAAAGTACATAACAGGAAGTACATCATATATAAGCCGTCTGGCAAGGTAACCATGGAGCAAGCCTGGGATGAGCCTCAAATGCCAAAGGCAAGAGTTTCTATTTTATCCTAGAGGTAATGGAGACCACCGAATAGTTGTGACAGGGTTGGACCTGGGTTTTAAGATGAGAAATCTGGCAGCTGTGTGGATAGTGGACTGGAGAAGTGAGAGAGACTGGGTGCGGAGAGAAACTCATGCTAGTGTGAGTGGGTGCAGGGATTTCAACTATGTGATGCTGCAAGTCCTGAAATTTAATGGGTGAACATCTGTAGTCATAAAATTAGTAGGCTATTGCACAATAATCTAGGAGAAAAATGAAGAGATTCTGAACGAGCCTGGCTGACTGGGAAAAAGAGAATAAAAACAACATATGCTGAGGATATGGATTCAACAGGACTTGGAAGCTGATCAGATAGAGGGGATGAGGGAGTGGGAAAAGTCTAGAATGAGTCCTAGGCTGTGAACTTGGATGACTAAAAGAATGGTGGTGTCTTCAACAGAAACTAGGAAGCCAGGAAGAAGGATAGGTGAGGTCGGGGGAAAGAAAAGAAGTTGTTCCATGGACCTGTTGAGTCTGGTATCCCTATGAGAGAGACATCCCGGCAGAGATGTCCAGCAGGCAATCGGAGATGTGGGACTGAAAGCTTGGAAGAAAGACAAGGGCTGAGCATATACTTGGTAGTCATCTGTATGAGGCATGTATTTTATTTCTATGAAAAATCATAGACCTATCTTAGCATTGGAAACTGCTTTTATTAGTACATACTGACCAAGTATTTAACTAGATGGGAATGAAGTTTTCAGAAAGTTCATTAAAAGGACATTTAATGATTAACAATGAATGCATTCCAGTGGACAAGTATTTTATTCCATGACTTATGAGGTGAGGTTTTTTTTATAGTTACCATTTTCTCTTAAATAATTATATTTTTTGTGTGTTAATAAAAAGGCAGCCTAATATAGTGAATAGAAAATTGGCCTCAGTTAGAAAGACCTAGGTTCTAGTCCTGCTTCTAACACATACTAGCTGTGTGACCCTGAGCAAATTATTTATTCTCAGTGCCCCAAGCAACACTCTGAGATTATAAATTAAGAGACGATGTGACCTTCATTGGTAGAGGGACTTTCTTCTAAATCATAAATCTGGACCTGGGAAAGACCCAAACCCAAAGTCATGCAGAGAGAATGGAACTAGAGGAGTAGTGTCCTAAATTTGGATCCAATGACCCAATTCCTTGACACCAGGTAGAAAGGAATCCTGGACTATTGCAATATTATGATCTCTTTCTCTCATTTAGAAGGACCTAAATAATCTTATCACCATGTAACAACAACAAAGACATACTCAGCATGCATACCCATGTGGGATTTAGAGATCTAATCTAAACCTTTCATTTTATAGGCAAGGTAATACCTTAGAACATAGAGACCCAGAGAGGTTAAGTGACTATTCCGTCACACAGTAAACTAGTGTGGCTCCTAACTCTAAATCTAAGGTTTGGGCTCACTGGATTTCCCTCATTCCAACCTTGCAGAAAGTTCTAGCAGCTCCTTGCTACTTTTAAGATCATATTGAAAAGTCCTTTCATAATCTGGTCTCTTCCAATCTATGCATTCCATTTTACATTGTATTCCCTGACACACACTATACAATTCAGCTACATTCATTGGTCTAATTAATGTTGCTTCATCTTCGTTGCCTTTGCATATTCCACATGCCAGGAATATGCTCTCTCATCATCTCTGCCTCCTAAGTACTCTGAACTCATTCAAGACTCGCCTTCCACATGATACCTTTCGTGGTCTCCCTAACTGCTAGTGTCTTCTCTGAGACTGTTGTTATTCAGTCACGTCTGACTCTTCATGAGTTTATGGAGGGTTTTCTTGGTAAAGATACTGGAGTAGGTTTGTAATTTCCAGCTCAGTGGATTGAGGCAAACAGAAGTTAAGTGACCAGGGTCACATAGTAAGTATCTAAGGACAGAATTGAACTCAGGTCTCCATGGCTCTGGATCCTACATTCGTCCACTGAGCTACCTAGTTGCCTCTCTGACCTTGGATCTATTCTGCGCATATGTCATAGGTACCTAATTACTTTCATGCTCTCTGTTCCATTACAGTGTGACCTCCTTGAGGGCAGGTACAATGTTTTTGCCTTTCTTTTTATCTCTGATGTTTAACCCAGTGCCAGGTACAAAGTCAAGCAATTAATACATGTCTATGGATTAATCGCTTTACTGATTGATTTCAACTACATGATGCCACAAGTCCTGAAACTTAATGAGTGAACATCTGTAGTCATGAAATCAGCTTCATACCTTTTTAATGAAGGACATATCAAGTATTTGTCACTAATAGGAAGGGATGGTGTAGTGGATCAGACCCATCCTGGTAACCTGCATCATTTTATACCCCTTCAGTTTTCTCTGTGATGCCTAGTGGAGACCCACATATCTGAGAAACAGGATTCCTACTCTATTAGGCCTTAAGGCTTTGCCCTGGTCTTGCTGAATATTGACTTTGCCTTTTTTTTAACCATGCTTCTATTAGTGCTTGATAAACATTCCTGTGGAATGATCACAGCAAGAGAAGTATCTCATCTCAATTAAATTATTAAAAAATTATTTACTGAGTTAGAAAAACATTTTTTCTAATATTTTTTCCCCAAAATTCATTTGGAAGAACAAAAGGTCAAGAATTTCCAAGAAACTAATGAAAAAAAAATGTAAAGGAAGTAGATTCAGTAATTCTAGACCTTAAGCTATATTATAAGGCAGTAAATACCAAAACTGTCTGATACTAAGAAGTAGAAAGGTAGATCGGTGGAACAGAGTAGACACACAATTCACAATAGTAAAGGACTATAGTAACCTTGTGTTTGACAAATGTAAAGATTTAAATTTGGTAGATAAGAATTCATTATTTGGAAAAAAAAAGAATTATTGGGAAAGGTGGAAACCAATTTGGCAGAAATTGGGCATAGGACATTATCTTAAACCATGCACCAAGATAAGGTCAAAATAGATACATGACCTAGATATAAAGGGAAATAGTACAAGAACATTAGAAGACCATGGAATATATTACTTATCAGATTCATGGGTAGGAGGATAATATATGAAGAAACAAGAGATAGAGAGAATTTGAGGGGGTAAATGGATAATTTTTATTATATTAAATTGTAAAAAAATTTATACAAATAAAACTCATACAGCCAAGATTAGAAGGAAAGCAGAAAATTGGGGGAAAAAAACTTTTGTAGACAATTTCTCAGATAAAGGTCTCATTTCTCAAATATATATAGAACTTTATCAAATTTATAAGAATACAAGTCATTCATCAGTTGATAAATGGTCAAAGGATATGAACAGTTTTTCAATGAAATCAAAACCACATATAGTAATATGAAAAAATGCTCTAAATCGTTACTGATTAGAGAAATGCAAATTCGAACAACTTTGTGATGTCATCTTACACCCACCAGATTGGGTGTAAGATTGGCTAAAATGATAGATGCCCTTCAGTTGGGGAATGGCTGAACAAGTTGTGGGTATATGACTGTGATGGAATATTACTGTGATATAAAGAAATGATGAGCTCATTGATTGTAGAAAAACAGAAAGACTTGGACCTATGAAGGAAGATATTATCCACCTCCAGAGAAAGAACTGACAGGTAGAAATCTGTGCAGTATGGTTGTACATATATGTGTATGTGTGTATATTTATATATAGGTGTGTGTGTGTGTATATATATACATATATATATATATATACATGTATATATACACATGTGTGTGTGTATCTGTGTGTTTAATTGTAGCCTTCTCTAGGGTGAGGGAGGAAAAAATAAAATTAAAAGTGCACAGTGGAGAACAAAAGAAAACTTAAAAGGAGGTATAGAAAAGCTGGGACACTTTGTAAACAATGTGTAGCATTTATTACATAGGTTTTCCAAAAAAAGTAAAGAGTTTGAAATTGAAATTTATTGTTTTATACTGAATCCTCTCTTTATGTTCTGCTATGTACATGGAAATGTTCTTTTCTTTTCTCATTTTGTATTTAAGTTTGAAATGAATAAAAATTTTAAAAAGCAAAAGAAGCACCTATGTAAAGCAATGCTTTTCTGCCAGAGTTTGTAAATTGATTCACAGAATACACAGTAATTACATTTCCTGGAAATTAAAGTGCTTAAGCATAGCAAATATATTAATGTCTATTTCCTCTTTTTCTATGTTTTGTTTTTGTTTTTCCCAGAAAAGGACTGGCTGAAGGGCCTGGACAACAACATCTTACTGTGAAGAGCAGGGACCCTCTTCCTAAGCATTTCACCAAAAATGTGCAGGAAGCCATTCATAATTATAACTGGTAAGAATAACCCAGCAATCTCTTATGGATTTCAGAATGGAGAAATGTGTGCTGGCTATGTGGTAGGAAGGCATATTAGGTGGAGGCCTTACATTTATAAAAGTAAAGCATAATTGTGTATTTTCTTACTTTTTGGAAAATGTTATTAAGTTATTAAAGCTGAAAACTTTGCTAAGAGTTTTGGGAAACCTTAGAAATATAGCGTAATGATAGTACAGTACAGTGTAGTATAGAATAGTATAATAGATATTCTACTATAGTGGTTGGATTTTTAGTATAGTGTAGTAATGGTGATAGTATAATATGACATATATAGATAATATCTGGGTAAATATGTATTATACCCAAACGTTTTATACATATTATATTGGATATACTGTGTATATACATACACCATACAAAATAGTGTATATATATAAATAAAATATGTAAACTTGTGTAATATACACATATATACATACATTCATGTGTATATAGATATACACACATACATATATAGGTGTATGGGTATACACATATGTGTATGCACACATGCATGTATAGGTGTATGGTATACACACATATATGTATACACACATGTGTGTACATACATTCACACACATAGATAGACAGACAGACAGACACACACACACACACACACACACACACACACTTTATCAGACTTGTGATTCTCAGTATGTCAGGGCAAGACTTAAACCCAGTCCTTCCTGACTCAGAGGCCAGCTTTTTATCTACTACATCAGTCTGCCTCCCTGAAAATCATACATAGATTTCTGGAATGAACCTCAGAGACCATCAAGTCCAACCCCCTTGTTTTAAAAAATGAGGAAATGGGGGCCCAGAGAGGTTTTACTCAAATCTAATTCCATCTATAGGGACTGGACCTGTGGTTTCATTGGTGTAAGGTACTCCCAAGGGGAGGAAGCTATTTTGCCAATGCAAGTTGACACCCTCTTTTCAATTTATGGTCTTAAAGAGGGTTGCTTGGATCAATGAGAGCTATGGTGGCTTAGCCAGCACCACACAGTCAATATTTATCAGAGGCAAATCTTCTTGGCTTTGCCTTTCAACTATATACTAAATGTAGAACTAGATCTAGATAAAGGATCCTTAATCGGGGTCAATGAACTTTTAAAAATATTTTTCCAGCTATTTTTCAACATAACTGGCTTCCTTTGGAATCCTATGAACTTTATTTTGTACATTTAAAAACATTATTCTGAAAGGGAGGGGGTCCATATGCTTGACCAGACTATGGAAGGGGTCAATGACACAAAAAAATTAAGAACCTGTGCTCTAGATTATTAATTTGTATCTCATGATAGTCCTAGATCTGGAATTATATGTGTGGATAGATATAGATAATACTAGTATGGATACATAGATATAGACATAGATAAAGATGTGGATATAGATATAGTCAAGATATGGATATGGATAAAGATATAGGTACAAGTATACATATACAGGGATATTAAAAAAAGGATTGAACACTTTTAAGAATTTATTCTTCAGTAACTAGGTTATAAAAGAACGTGTAATCCTCCAGTGTCAAACATAAAATCTTTTTTTTTTGTTGAAAGACCTTCATAAACTGATCCCTTTCTGCCTTTCCAGTCTTTCCACACCTTACTCCTTTGCTTGTACTCTTCAATCCAGTGACCCTGGCTTCTTTGCTGCTCTTGGAACGTGGGACACACCTCTTGACTCCAAGAGTTTTTGCTAGCTCATCCCCAGGTCTGAAATGCTTTTTCCCTCATTTCTGTTTTCTGGGTTCCCTGGATTCCTTCAAGTCTCAGCTGAAGTCTCACATTCCACCAGAAGCCTTTCCCAATCCCCCTTAATTCTAGTACTTTTCCTCCTGTTGATTATTTCAAATTTATCCTGTCTAGCTTATTTATACATAGTTTTCTTGTAGTCATCTCCCCATTAGACTGTGAGTTTCTTGGAAGGAGAGACTATTTTTTGCCTTTCTTTGTATCCTTGGCACTTAGCACAATGCTTGGCACATAGTAGGTCCTTAATAAATACTAAGAAATTAGTATTACTAGTTGCTAATTAAATTACTGAGAAATATAGGGGAATCTCTACAACTTGGTATACATACTCCTGCACACATATTCACATATGTGCATAACCTAGTTATCGAGTAATAACTTTTTTGGAATAACTCTGAATTTTGAGAGTATATGTGATACATAATTTTACACATACATGCATATAAATATCCACTTACTGAGGTGTGTTATTTATTCCCCATGGATACTCCTTCTTCATGGGTTTCTTGTGACTGAAAAGCCCTATCGACTTTGGCCAACCTTCTGGTGATGAACCATCCGTAAATTAACCAAAGTTGGCACCACCTTGGATAATAGCCAGACAATAATATTCATACTCATCACCTTTCCTGCTTGCCACCACCTTGACAGAGACTGCCCTCTGTTGGTGCAGCCTTGTAAGTTCACCTCCAAATTATGATGAAGAATTGGGTCTTTAGATGGAGGGTATAGATAGGTACAGTTCCAGATTGCAGATAGATACAGATATAGCTGATTTGATGGGCTAAAGGAGTCCAAGTAAAGCCAAAAAAAAAAAAGAAAAAAAAGAAATGAGTCACAAAAGAAATAAAGTTACCCATGCATTCCTTTTCTCTCTAAATGTTATTCTTACACATTTGTTTTCATTTCTACAGTGAATCCATTTCATCTCTCTTGTCGAGTGGGAACACCACCCCTACAGACTTGAATAATTCTTGGTCTGGAATACAAAGCATTACTACTGAAAGAAGCACGTCTACTGAACGAAGCTCAGTCTCCTCTTGGACAGATGATGTATGTCGATGATTATTTTGTAACTTATCTAGAAGAAACAAGGTAGCATAGTGCACTGGTCCTGGAGTTAGGAAGGCTCCCAGAGTTCAGATCCAGCCTCAGACGCTTACTAAATGTATGACCCTGAGTAGGTCATTTAATCTCTGCCTGTCTCAGTTTCGTTACCTGTGACGTCAAATGACATAAGCGACGTCAAGTGATGCCATTGTAAGATGGCGATGATGATGGCAACTACCTCACAGGATTATTGTTCTATCTACAATTCCTGGTACATAGTACATGTTTGATAAATGGTTTTTTCCTTTTATTTTTCATATCCTATGATCTGAATGCAGAATTTGAGGCAGCATGACACAGTGGGAAGAACAACAGCTTTAAAATTGGAGAAACTGGGTTCAAATTTCTGACCTTACTACCTCTATTATCTTGACCAAGTCATGAGAACTTCCCAGGCTTCAATTTCCTCCTTTGTAACAATAGCTAGCATTCATATAGCACTTTAAAGTTTACAAAACCCTTTACAAATATCATCTAATTTATCTTTAGAACAGCCAGCCCTGGGAGGTACATGCTGCTCTTATTCCCTTTTACAAAGAAGGAAAGTAAAGCAGACGGTGGTTAAGTGACTTGCCTAGGGCCACATGGCTAAATAGGTATATGAGGTCATATTTGAATTAATATATGATTAATAGATATAATTAATATGTGATATAATATTGATATAATTATATAATGTATAATCGGCATATATAATATATAATTAATTACTATATAATTACTATTTATTATTATTATTAATATAATTAATTACTGACTCCGGGTTGAGTATTCTACTGCTGGTACCACCTAGATGCCTGGAAAATGAGGGGGATGCACTAGATGGTCTTTTGACATCCCTTCTGGCTCTGATCTAGGATCCTATGAATAGATGACCTCCTAAGTTCCTTCCAGATCTAGATCCAAGACCCGAGTGGTCCCAATCTACTCACACATTTCAGGACAAGCCTGTATCAGCGTGATTCATGATAGGAATTAGCCACACCCTTGAGTGTGACTGTGGTATCTTTTAAGAAATTATTACCCAGGGCAGTGGTGCAATAGATAGAGCTCTGGCCTTGGAGTCAGGAGGACCTGAGTTCAAGTCCAGCCTTAGATACATGATACTTACTACCTGTGTGACCCTGGGCAAGTCACTTAACCCTAATTACCTTACCAAAAAAGCAAAATAAAAAAAAGAAATTATTACCCCCACTAAATTCAAGTACATTCTCAGGTAATAAATACTTCTGTCCTAAGGAAATTATAACACATAGACTTCTACTTATGTTGCTGCTTTAGGAGTTTGATAAAGCCACAGCGAAAAAAGTTCAGCAGTTATTTTGGGAGGTGGATGAAATGCTCTTTGAAGGGAAGATCAGTCCTCACTGCCAGAATCTGCAGGCAGAATGTAAAGAGTGGACTAGAAGGTCACTTCATCTCAGGTAAGAGAAATGTTGAGTGTTATTTTCTGGATCGGGTGCTTTTTAGAAACAGGCTCTACAAATTGTTCAAAACCTTGGGAAGTAATGAAATATCTAAATAATCGTGTATGTTGTACTGAAGTAAGATAGAGCAGAGGTCTAACATGCTTCCATCCACGTGCATCTGATTAAAATGTAACTGGGACATTTTTTAACAAAAACCACACACATACCCAATAGAAAATTTTCTTGTTCAGTTGTTTCAGTTGCGTCTGACTCTTCATAGCCCCATTTGGGGTTTTCTTGGCAAAGGTACTGGAGTGGTTTGCCATGTCCTTCTCCAGCTCATTTTATGTTAAAGGAAACTGAGGTAAACAGGGTTAAGTGACTTGCCCTGGGTCACACAGCTAGGAAGTGGCTAAAGCCAGATTTGAAATCAGATCTTTCTAAATTCATTTCGCTACCCAGCTGCCTACAACGTAGAACATACATCAAGTTATTATGTGGTTTTCTAAGTCAGTATGTCCCCATAGTGATCTTTATTTATGGTTTGGTAGTCCTCTTTTCTATTTGAGTTTGATACCACTGATGTAGACAGCCTATCAAATGCCTCTATTGGAAGGCATAGCATCTATAATAAAAATTATATTTATAATAGTAAGGAGCCTTTTCCTTAGGGAGAAGTCAGCCTGAATAAACATACTGAAGTTGGAGAATATAGGAAGTACACAAAAGTACCCTTGGTTCTCGGGGGGCCCTAAAGGAAAAGTAAAGCTCAATCATCTGGAAATGCCTTCATTCTATATTATGTTATGTGGAAATCAATCAGCAAATCTTGCTTAAGTCTCTATTCTGTGCTATGTACACTCCAGGATACTGAAGAGACCAGAGAGAAACAGTTGCTGCCCTCACTGGGCTTTTAGTATAGCAGAGGAGAAAGCAGTCCCATACATGCATCTGCTTTGTTAATTGTATTTGAATCCCCAGTGCCTAGCATAGTGCCTGACACATAGTAGGTGCTAAATAAATACTTGGTGATGATACGTAACAGATGCAAGGTAACCATGGTAATAAAAGCTGGGCCAAACTGGAAAGAAATTAATTTGCAACCTAATTTTCATTGCCCACTATACTATTTTTCTTTACCTGGATAGATAGATGTTCCAGTAGCTTATCTTGTCTAGATATTAAGATCCTTGTCTTCATAATATTATAAACCCCTTCACTACTACTCTGTCTTAGGACCTAGAGATATGTAATGATATACCTGTGTAAGAGGAAACCAGTAGATATTAATTGAATCTGTTTATAAGTACCCCATTCAGGTGTGCTACATGGAATAGGTAGATGTCATTCCAAATAGTCAGGAACATACAAAAGGTCAATGAATGTATACCTAGAGATAGCTGGGTGGCACAATGGGCTTACACTCAGGAGAACTGGGTTCAAATCCTCCCTCAGACACTTGTTATCTGGACAAGTCACTTAAGGTATGCCTACCTCAATTTCCCCATCTGTAAAAAAGAGATAATAACAGCACCTCCCTCCCAGGGTTGTTGTGAGGTTCAAATCAGATATAAAGTGTTTGTGAATTTTAAGTACTGTGTAAAATGATAGCTGTAATTATATGTTGAAAAGTATGTGAGCTTTGTGCATATTCTTTCTTATTTTTAAGTGTTATACCAGTGCGTTTTGCAGGGGAAATTCTGAGTTTAGAATAAGAGGACCTGAGTTCAAGTCTTGTCTCTGCTACTTGCTAGCTGTGTCAACTTGGGCAAGTCCCTTAACTTCTCTCGGTTTCAGATTCCTCATTTGAAAAAGGAGAGGGTTGGTCTAGATTAGGGGTGGGGAACCTTTGGTTGAATCCAAATTTCACAGAACAAATCCCTATAAATCCCTAAAAGGATTTGTTTGGCAAAGTTTAGATGCAGTCAAAGGGTTGCACTTGAGGGCCTAGAGGGCCATATGTGGCCTCGAGGCCACAGGTTCCCCACCCCTGGTCTGGTTTAGCTCCAAATCCATAATATTATGGGAAAAAAGTCCTTTCCTCTCAACGTCTTTTCAGCTATTACCATGTTCTGTATTTTTAAAAAATTCAGAATGACATTATTTTAATAGCCATTACTATCTTTTTTTGTATCTCACAGGGTTCTAGGAAAACAGCTCATGTTTCCAACAGATGAAGGTTTTCAACATTTTCCAAGCAATGCTGCTAGTTCTGCCCACATCAAGTCCTCACTTGACCTCTGTGAAAGCAATAACAATCTCAAAGAGTATGTTTTCTTTTTTTTTCTTTAAGTTTTATTGATGCCTTCCGAGTATCACTTGTCATTTTTGATTTGGTCTCCCTCCCCCTATCATAGAGCTGTCCTTTGTCCTAAGCAAAGCATCTAAGCTGACCTGACTGCAAAGGGCTGTACCTTACAGAATACACATACCCTTCCATCTCTGTAGTTGTCCACCTTGGCACCAGTAGGAGAGAAATGTATTTCATCATCTATTTTCTGTGACCAAGATTGGTCGTTGTGATTTATGTGAGCTCTGTTTTCATTATATTACTGTAGTTTTTACATATACTATTCTTCTGGTGTTCTGGACCAAGCCTGACTCAGGCCAGCTTCCTGGTAGTTTGGGTTTGATGTTGGATTGAAATGAGGCACTCATGGACCAATCAGCAGTTAACAAAAAGAGACTTATTTAGTCAAGGAGGGAAGGGAAGTGTGTTCAACAAGGATATGCATTGAGGACACTCTGAACTGATTCAGCTGAGTGATGTTCGCCTGTCTTTGAGTTGTCTATTGTGATTTGCCAGCCAAGCATCAGAGGTCCTTGAGACTATTTGTGCTTAGGTGAGCTGTCTTAGCAACAGCCTTTAGTCACTTCAGCTTGTTGAGTCTTGACTGTAGTTTCACTACCTTTTAAAGAAACCTTAATGTGTATGGGATTCAGGAGTTATAATTTTGCTTCTACCACATTTGGTGTACTTTTCTTCACTCTATCATTGGTTCCATGAGTTATTCTAGAATGGTTTTTTATCCTATTCATGATCATCTCTCTGTCTGTCTGATCAAGGCCTGATTGACGTTCAGCAGTTATTGGCAGACCAACACATCAGAAAGCTGCACCACTGAGGGAAATTTGGATTTGGGTGGAAGATGGGGAAATAGCAGCTTCTCAAAAATCCCTGTTCTGAGATTAAGGGATCCAGTTAAATGGCTTTGGCTTAAGCCCCTGCTTTAAAAGGACTGGAGGAGAGTATTCCTGGTAATGCTATAACTGGGAATTCTGATATTCAAGAAAAATTCACTTGATGAGGATGGGGAAGAGACTAATCCACTTCAGTTAGGAGCATTTGTGCCAGGAGAAGGTACTGTCTGTCAAAGAGCCTTATCCCCATCCATTGGAATACTGATGAGGAAAAGTAGTGAGCTAAAGACAAAAAGTCACTGACTTTGGAGTCAGAAGAACTGGGCTCAGATTCTGCTTCTGACACTTTATGTGACCAAGACATTTAACTCTTTGGACCTCTATTTCCCCATCTGTAAAATGAAGAGATGGGTTAGATGACTTCTTCCAACTCTAAATGATCCCTGATCCCTTGATACCTTTCTCTTGATTCGTCTAATCACTGGGAAGAGAGAGAAAAGTGAGCCCATTGTAATGTTGGGGCTCACAGTGTGGTGGCCTAGGTCCAGGTGAGGTAGATTGGTCCAGGTATAGAGATTGTACAAGGATCTTGAGGATTGTGGGAAAAGAGAAATGCCCTCCCTCTGTCAGCTTTCTGGAGCAAAGTTCCAGTTTTCCCACGCTAGTTATATAGCTTGGTTACCTGGTGAAGTAGTCCCAATATTAGAGGAACCTCATAGTGGCACAAGGAGCAGGGTGATGTTGCTCCAATCGATTACAAGGTGAAGGTAGAAACAGGAGTAAAGGATAACCTGGCAGTCTATTCCTGCCCCATATGCCTTTGCAGTGAGGGAAGGGTATGGGTGTGTAACATTCAAATAGAATTCTGCTGCTCAAGAAAGAAGAACTTGATCTCATAGAGTGATTTGGGTTTATAGAAAGCCTCTTATGGATTTTGTTTTTTGAGGGGTGAAGTTTGGGTTTCATCTTATTTTGAAAGTATATTTATTTCTTTGAAAATATTTATTTCCTAAAAATATATGCGTTTATTAATGTATATTTCTTTAAAACATTTATTTCTTCAAAAATATATTTACTAATGTATTTCTTTAAAATATATATGTGTATATATATATATATATATATATATATATATATTTGCTTTTTTTAGGCAATTGGGGTTAAGTGACTTGCCCAGGGTCACACAGCTAGGAAATGTCAAGTGTTTGGTCTGAGGCCGGATTTGGACTCAGGTCCTCCTGACTTCAGGGCCAGTGCTCTATCCACTGCACCACCTAGCTGCCCCTAAAATATATATTTTTAAAACATACATTTATCAATAGATTTAAAATATTTATTTCTTCAAAATATGCATTTATTAACATATTTTTAAAAATATATTTCTTTCTTTAAAAAATAAATTTTGATGTGATTGATCCTTTCCTATGGAATCATGTTATTTCAACTGAAGTGAAAGCATCAACCATAATCATGCACCTGCTGGCCTGGGACTGTTGGAACATCTTCCCAAGTGTAATTGATGGTTATTGTCTTTGGTTGCTTACAGGCTGTGCATCTCAGGCTCTAAGCTTGTCCCAGAAGATTACACAAGAATTTCTTCTGTTCTTTCTGACATAGCTGCTTCTTTCCTAGAGGAAGAGATCTATGATATAGACGGAGAAATTGAAGAGTATTTTGCTTTCGACAAAAAAGAATTGTAAGTAGAACATTTCACTGAAATGCACAAAGTTTCAAGGGTGACATTATTTAATTTCAATTAAGTCTTCAAATTCCTTTGCTTGCTAGGATGATGCTATAATCCCCAAATTCCTAGGGTGCCCTTTTGAAACACTCATTGATTTTAAATCAAAATATTTGTACAAACTTCTTTGTTGCAAAGTAGTTTAACACAAGTATACTAAGAAGAGTATGTGCTAGAGAGTCATTCCATGACTGGTAATGCTGCCTCTCTAGTCCACTAGCTGTGTGACTTGAAAAATGTTAATTAGCTTCTAGACTTTGATTTCTTCCTGTGTAAAATAAAGAGGACTAGATGATTCTTTTAAGATCCCTCCCAGCTCAATTATTTCATGATGATCAATAAATCAATTTATTAAGCACTTGACATGTACCAGACACTAGAAAAAACAGTCATTTATTATGCTTAGCAAAATGAGTTTTTGTATCACATTTCATTGATATAGGCAATTCCTGAATGCGGAAAATTTCAGCACCAATGCAACTTTATAATCTCAGAAAGTTTCCTGAAACACTAAGAGATTAAGTGACTTGCCTGGAGTCAAACACTCAGTATCTATCTGGGACTATATTTAAATCTGGATCTTCCTGACTTTCTTTATCCACAATGGCACCCTAACCCTCATGATGATCAATCAGTTCATTTATTAAGCACTTAACATGTACCAGATGCCAGCAAAAACAGTCCTTACCCTGAATGAGCTTACACTCTAATGGAGGATGATGATATGCAAACAGCTATGTACATTTAGGATATATACAGGGTAAATTGGAGGGAGTCTCAGAAGAAAGGCACTAACATTACAAATAGAAATAGTTCCAATTTATTATGTTTAGCAATGAGATGGTGAAGTTTTTTTAAATGTTTTATAACCCTTTGATTCACCCAGTTGATGTCATACTGACTTGAAACTAATCTTAAATTCTTAAGGCATCTAGTTTATCAGTTTGTGACGCAGATACAGTCAAGTCCATTGCAAAATAAATGCATGTTTGACCCTTTCAATAATTTTCATAAGGGAAATTTTTTTCCATTAACAAAAATTGACTGATTTTAGCAACAAGAATTTCCTTATTTTTGTTTTAAGTGATGATGAAAGTCTGGAACCCAAGAAGGCTGTCATCAGTCGACCATGGAATAAACATGGCGTCCCTCCTATTTCCCCGGAGGATTGTATCAAAGATGCAGCAGCTGCTGAAGCATTTGATCATGCTTGGAGAAATGTGGTGGAAATGTTGGAAGAGCTAGTGAGAAAAACATGGGAAACTGCCCCTCAAGGTACTTGAGAAATGTCACCGAACAGCCTACTAAAACACTAAACAAAATCTAAAGCAAACCCTCCACTTTAAAAGAGTATTTCTCAGCTCTGTCTAGTTTCTGTTTTAGGCACATCCCATTATTATGTGTTCTAAGGAAGACGTTCTTTCTCTTCAAAGTAATGGTTCTAATACTTTCTCAATGGGAGGGAATTTTATTGATTATTTTGTACAATATCTTTACTGACACTGGAGGAGTTGTGATGAAGCACAATTCAAAAAATTTATTTGATCCAAAAAGTCATAACTGGCTTTGTTGTCTATTCAGCTTCCAGTTATGATTTAAACAAAAAAAGTTTGGTACAGTGGCAAAGATTGACATGATGCAGAAATACAAATCATAGTGACCTATTTTGCTGACTAATTGTATATAATTAGTGCCAAAAAGCTAATTTTCCTAATTCTTTCCCTCCAGAAGGAGAGAAATAGACACTCCCCTCCCCCCAAAGACATGGAAGGCTATGCATAAGTCGTGACCTCACCATACATCAAACCAGTTTTAAAAAACTGGATTCCTGTTGCTATTGCTCTTGTTCAATCATTTTCAGTTGTGTCCAACTCTTTGTGACCCCATTTGGGGTTTTCTTGGCAGAGATCCTGGAAGGATTTGCCATTTCCTTCTCTAGCTCATTTTACAGATGAGGAAACTGAAGCAAACAGGGTTAAGTGACTTGTCCAGGATCACACAACAATTAAATGTCTGATACTGGATTTGAATCCACAAAGATAAATCTTCCTGATTCTTTTTTTAAAGTAGTATTTTATTTTTTTCCCCCAATTACATGTCAAGACAATTTTAAACATTTATCTTTACAAGATTTTGAGTTCCAAAATTTTCTCCCTCCCTCCTCACATCTCTTCTAAAAATGGTAAGCAATTTGATATAGGTTGTGTAAGTGCTATCATGTAAAACATTTCCATATTAGTTGCAATTGTGAAAGAAGAAACAGATCAAAAGGGGAAAAAAAAAACAAGGAAAAGAATAAAGTAAGTGAAAAAAATATTCTTCAATCTGCATTCAGAGTCCATCAGTTTTTTATCTGGATGTGGATAGCATTTTCCTCTGTGAGTCCTTTGTACTTGTCTTGGATCATTGTGTTGCTGAGAAGAGCCGAGTCATTCATAGTTGATCATCACCCAATGTGCTGATACTGTGTACAATGTTTTCCTGGTTCTGCTCATTTCACTTTGCATCAGTTCATACAAATCTTTACAGGTTTTTCTGAAATTTGCCTGTTCACCATTTCTTATTGCACAATAGTATTCCATTACATTCATATACCACAGCTTGTGCAGCCATTCTCCAATTGATGGGCATTCCCTCAGTTTCCAATATTTTGCCACCATAAAAAAGGAAGCTATAAGTATTTTTGCACACATGGTTCCTTTCCCCCTTTTTTAATCCTTTTGGGGTACAGACCTAGTGGAGGTATTGGTGGATCAATCAGTTTAGTTGGCATAGTTCCAAATTGCTCTCCAGAATGGATAGATTAGTTTACAACTTCACCAACAGTGCATCAATGTCCCAATTTTTCCACATCCTTTCCAATGTTTAGCATTTCCTTTTTTTTTTTTATCATATTAGCCAATCTGATAGGGGTGAGGTAGTACCTCAGAATTGTTTTAATTTGCATGATTTAGAGCACTTCTTCATATGCCTAAAGATGGCTTTGATTTTTTCATCTGAAAACTGTCTTTTCATATTCTTTGACTATTTATCAATTGGGGAAGAATCTTCCTGATTCTATGCCCAGTGCTGTATCCATTCTGCCACCTAGCTGTCCTTCAAAATGGGTACAGATGGCAAAAAGCACCAGTGGCTCTTTCTTTGCTCTTTGTTATGTGTCCAGACCCTCACACAAGGCCTTGCAGACAGCAGGTACTTAATAAGTGTTCTTTGAATTGAATGCTCCTTGATTGTTGGCCATATTTCCTCTTTTGACTGAGGAGGAGATTCATGATACCTTGTGGTATCATAAAATGAAGAATTTTGGTTTGCTTCTTTATTGCTAACTTTTTTTACTAAGGAAGTTGACAATTCTCTTAACTGGCAGGACTTGAAAAAACTGCATAATTGCATTGCATACATTGAATAAATGGTTGGTTTTTGAATTGTTATTTATACTTTATGTTGCTGCAGGAGGAAGTAAACAGAGGGAAAACTTGAAGACAGCTGGAAATAAATTGGCAAAACTGCCAAGTGCCCACATTCCTCCCAATCCATCGAGTGTTCCCCCTTCTAGAGGTTCTGAGACCCACAGCACATCGTTGGGTTCTCATATGGGTCTGTCTCAGGTCAGATGCTTTTCTGTTCAATTCTATTTTTCTATCCTGGAAGCTTCTCTTAGTTTCTATAGTTGAGATAATTCCTTTTGAATCATCTCCCAGGAAGACCGAACCTGAATATAAGATCTTAACTGAACTCTATCCATTTGTATTTGAAAACCAATGGAAGAAATTTTCTTCTTGATTAAAGGATACAAAAGCCATAGAGTCCTATATTTGGGAAGTGGAAGAGACTTAGAGATCATCTAATTCAATTTGCAGATGAGGGAGTAGAGATCCAGAGAACTGTGGTGACTTGACCAAAGTCACATAGCTAGTTTGTAGTAGAGCTGGGAAGAAAAACCATGTCACCTGATTCCCAGGTTTCTGCTAATAGCAATAACTGATACTTGTATAGAACTTTTAAAGAATCTTATCAAATCTCATTCCTTGCCTTTGTGAGCTAGGCACTACAGGCATGATTTATTATCCCCATTTCATAGTTGAAGAAAACTGAGGCTCAGAGCATTGAAAGTTGTTGTTCACCCTTCATTCTCAAAGAGGACCAATGACATCAGGAGGGTGATGTCTTGACTTGTAACTGAATTGGATTTAAGTGAGGCAGAGCTGTACAAAGTCATCAGCCTAACTCTCTCCTCCAGAGCCACTGGAGTCCAGTTGCAAAACATAGGTTAGAACCACTGGTGATGACTTGCCCATGATCACAGAACCGTTAAGTGTTGGTGATAAAACCTAGGTCTTTTTTATTCCAGGGCCATTACTGTAGTTGCTATGCCATGCTGCCTCTCTGTTTCTTCTTCTTTGCATTGGCTAGGGAGTGGAGGTGAAGAATGTTTTGTTTTTAAATTGATTTTTATCATTTTGGAGTAATAAAGAGGTGAGAAGAGAATAAGAATTTATGTAAGTGCCTACTGTGTGCTGGGCACTGGGCTAAGTGCTTTACAAATATTATCTCATTTGAGCATCACAACAACCCTGGAAGGTAGGTGCTATTATGATTCTTTCTCAGTTGAGGAAAGCAAGGTAGGCAGAGGTTAAGTAATTTGCCCAGGATCACACAGCTAATGTTTAAGACTAGATTTGAATTGAAGGATTCTTCCTGACTCTAGGTCAGGGCCCTATCTGCTGCAGTTAAGGGAAAAGGAGAAGAATCCATAGCTTTAAAAGCTGGACAGAAAAAGAAGAAAAACGCATCAACAGGTGTTTATTGAGTACCAACTATGTTCTCATGCTTTTTTATTTTATTAATTTATTTTTTGTTTTCAACATTCACTTCCATAAGCTTTTGAGTTCGAAATTTTCTCTCCTCCCCTCCTGTCTGCCTCTCCAAGACGGCATGCAATCGAATGCAACTTCTACATATACATTCCTATTAAACATATTTTCATATTACTCATGTTGTAAAGAAGAATTAGAACCAATAGGAGGAACCACGAGAAAGAAGAAACAAAACAGAAGGAAAAAAAGAGCAAATAGTATGCTTCAATCTGCATTCAAACTCCATAGTTCTTTCTCTGGATGTGGATAGCATTTTGCAGCATGAGACTTTTGGAGATGTCTTAGATCCTTGAATTGTTGAGAAGAGCTAAGTCTATCAATGTTAGTAACTGCATAACGTGGCTGTTATTGTGTGCAGTGTTCTGGTTGTGCTCACTTCACTCAGCATCAGGTCTGCCTGCTCATAGTTTCTTATAGCATAATGGTATTCCATTACATTCATATACCACAACTTGTTGAGCCATTCCCCAATTAATGGGATATGTACTCATTCTTGAGGGGGCATTCGGAAAAAAATATAAGACAAGGTCTCTTCAAGAAAATTTGGAGAAATGAGTCAAACATATGAAGTAAGATCAAAGACTGTAACTTTTAAGTGCTAAATTACATGGTGCAGAGGATAAATGTCATAGGAGAAAAAAATTTCCTCTGCCCTTTGTCAACCATCCACAAGGGTGGTCACACCCTTGACCTTATCTCACCCTAAACTGCTCCAACTTCAAAATGCTGAATTTTGCAATTTTCTTCTATGATCAAAATCTCTTGTGTTCCTGTCTTTCTCACTATTTTCCCCCTCCTGAACTTTCTGTTCTTCCTCATCATGACTTCTGGTTGGTCATTTCATCCCTTTTTCACAGTCCACTGGTTTCATGTCCCTCCCTGCACAGCCTGGACTCCAAAAGTTGTTCAGTTCAGCAAAGCACATTCTTCATTCTTCAGTCTCTCATCTCCTTGTACTTTTGATGTTCCTTCCCTGCTATTTCTGACCTCTGAGATGCACTCTGTCTCCTCTGCTTTTCTTATCAAGAAACCAAACTTTACTAGAGGAAGTCATGATATAATAATGGTCCACTACAAATTTATGCTTTGTAATCTCAACTGCACCATCACAGCTACCCAAATCCATTGTATCAATCTTGTTTGTTTCTAGCACCTATTCCAAACCTTGAGTCTCAACTTCCACCGCCACCTTATCTTTTTTATCAGGTTACCTTGCCCCCTCCTTTATTAAGAAGATTTAAACCATCTATTGTGAGATCCAATGTTTTCCATTTTTCTACATTTCAAAACTCCTCTATATCTTTTTCCATATTTTTCTTCCTTTACTTTAGCCTCAACATATGATGTGACTTCTTACTCGCCAATGCTAACATTACACTTATGCCCAATATCTTCCACCTTTCTCCGTGACTTTAATATCTACCTCACAGCCTTCATTTACCATCTTTCTTCAGCCTTCAAATTCAGCTCTGTCCTGAGTTCTGTCCTCCCTCTATACTGAGAGTTCTTGAAACACTTAGATTCCTTCAGTGTTCCAATTATGGAGGATCCTATATGCCAGGCTGAAGAATTTATATTTGATTCTAAAAGGGAACTATTAAAGGCTATGGAAAAAGAAATTGATAAAGTCATAGCTGTGCCTTAGTGAGAATTTTTATTTTTATTTTTATTTTACCTGTGAGAAGAATGGATTGAAGAAGGAAACTACTTGAAGCAGAGAGACTAATTAGGTAGCTGTTGCAATAGTCAAGGTGAAAGATGATGAGAATCTATACTAGTCTGGTAGATACAAGAGTGGACAGAAAGGAAATGATAAGAATTAGATTATAGGGAGAGAATGGAAAAGTCTTAGAAATTGACAAGCTATGTGGGGTCAGAGAGAGGAAAATGTCAAGTATGGTTGGGGTTAAGAACCTAGGTCCTGGGAAATGTCAATGCCCTTAGCAAAAAAGTTTGGAAGAAGGGCCTTTTTAGAAAGATGATATTTTATTTCAGACAGTCAAGTTTGATATGTCAATGAGACATCTGGTTAGAGATAATCGGCAGGCAGTTGGCCATGTGGGACTAGTGTTGAGAGACTGGATGTATAAATTAGGCAGTCATATACACAAAGATGATAATTGATCCCATGGGAGTAAATAAAATCACTAATTGAGAGTACAGAGAAAAACTAGGACCTAGAACTGAGCTTTAAGGTCAAGCTGTGCTTAAAGGAGAAGAGATAGAGGATCCAGCAAAGGAGTTTGTAAAGGAATAGATGTGCAGGAAGAAGAACTGGTAGAGAGTATTGTCATGGAAACACTGTGGGCAGTAGAAGGTGTAGTCAACAGTGTCACAATAATCTGCAGAAAGGATCAAAAAAAGCCATTGGTTTTGGCAGATAAGAGTTCACTTTTAACCTTGAAGAGATCAGTTTCTGTTAATTAGTGGGGTCAGAAACCTGAAGGCAAGGAGTGCATAGAAGTGAATCAAGGAAGAATTTTAAAGGTATTGCCATACAGTGAGGGTGAAGGTGAGTGTAGACCACCTCGATGTGTTTATATCCTCGTCATCAGAGTTCTGTGACTTCCTGAGCAGCGTAGGAGTAAGAGGACAGCTGGTGGTTGATGAGGGTGGCCCAGAATTGAGAACTGGCCAGGAGTGAAAGGCAATGTTACAAGGAAGCAGGGGGCACTAGTGCATTGTTATCTGCTTTGCTGCATATCTAATATGAGGATCTTACAAATGGGGTTTTACAAACAAAAGAGGCAAAGACCCAAAAACGTCCGGTAAAGTAGGTAGACCTGAGGAAGATGGAGATGGAAACAGCAAAGCAAATGGTTGTTATACAGGTGTCTCATTAACCTGCCAACTCAGAATGTTTCTATAAACTACTTGTATTTTGTGCTTTTTTGTTCTCTTTTGACTGATCTTGTGATTTTATCTCTGTTAAGGAGTTCCCAGTTAGACTTAAAACAATGTAGATTGGCACCTTTTCTGCAGTTTATTCTTAGCTCAGGAATTCTTAACTTCTTTGGTGCTCTCTGGACCCCACTGGCAGTCTGGTGATACCTATGGACTCCTTTTCACAATTCCAATGCATAAAATAAAATATATAGGATTACAATGAAAACCAATTTTATTGAAATATCAAATAAATATGAAATATTAAAAATATGCTAAAATATTAAAGCTCATGAACCTCAAATTAAGAACACCTCTCCTATAAAATTGCCTGGGGGGCAGCTAGGTGGCACAGTGGATAGAGCACTGGCCCTGGATTCAGGAGGACCTGAGTTCAAATCTGGCCTCAGACACATTACACTTACTAGCTGTGTGACTCTGGGCAAGTCACTTAACCCCCTTGCCTAGCCAAAAAAAAAAAAAGAAAAAAGAAAAAGATAAAATTGCCTGGGATATGGAGAAGTTAAATAATTGGTTTAAGGTCCTACAACCAGTATGTATCAGAAGTAGGGCTTGAACCCCTGTCAGTCAAACAGCCAGTTAATATTTATTAAACACCTACTGTCTACCAGGTACCATGCTAAGCACTAGAATGTCTTCCTAACTTTGAGGCCAGCTTTCTATCTAGTATGCCGCATTATTGTCTCTATATTGCACATATTGCAGGAAATGAGGATTGAGACCATGGACTTGCACCTGCGATCTCCTTGATGTAGGAAACTCCTTCTACTAATGCAAGTCAGCAACTCCTTTGCAATTTATGCTTTTTAAAAGTTGCCCAGGACACTAAGACTTGCAGTGACTTGCTAGTCTGTTAGTGGCAGCCTCAGATCTTCCCAGCTTTCCAGCCAGCTCTTTATCAACTGCACCAAAGGTGCAAACATGTGACTCACAACAGTTCCAAGTGTGGCCCAAACCAGATTAAAATGTAGCTCCTACCTGACTTTAATGTGTTGATGTGTTAATTAAAAAAAAAAAAAGATATATAACCATGTGTGGTTTTTTTAAGTCAATTTGCAGCTTCAAGGATCCTTATGTATGATTTAGCGGCCCCTATTTCTGTTTGCATTTGTCACCATTGGACTATACCGCTTCCTCACCCCAGAAAATAATTGATCTTAAAAATACTTAAAATGTTGTATATATGAATGTATATATGTGTGTGTATATATATATATATGTGTGTATATATACACACACATATATATTAAAGTTGTCGCTCAGTTGTTTCAGTCGTGTACTTACTCTTCATGGCCCCGTTTTGGGATTTTCTTGGTAAAGATACTGGGGTGGTTTTTGCTATTTCCTTTTCCAACTCATTTTACAGATGAGGAAACTGAGAAAAACAAGGTTAAGTGACTTGCACAGGGTCATGTAGCTAGTAAGTGTCTGACGCCAGATTTGAACTCAGGTCTTCCTGACTCCAGTCCTGGCACATGGATGCTCAGGGAATTGCTTAAATGCAAAGCAGTTCTGATTTTCAATTTTTTTTTTTGTATATGAAGCAAGGGTTAGATGTAATAGAATGGAGATATTAAAATGACCTGCCCCAAGGGACTATAATTGTGCAGAACAAATGAGATATTTGCAAAGTGTTTTGCAAACTTTCAAGAGCTACATAAAGGTGAGCTTTTATTACTACAGAGTGATTATATTTATTCTTTTTTGTCTTAGTGATCTATTAAAAACTGAATGTTGAACATCAGTAGAATCATCTCAACTGTCACTATTTGCAGTTAAACTAACTGATTTCAAAGAATTCAATCTAATTTTTTTCATGTCTATTATTGCCAACCAACACCCTTTCCCCTTCCCACAGACACCCAGCATAAAAAAAGATTGCATTGATCCTTGAACTAAAATAGAATGCTAAGAAATAATGTTATATTGCTATTATTCTTCTGATGATTTTATGGGAAAGGCAGATTTTAGCAAAGGATAGGAGTAACTTTTAGGGCAGCTAGGTGGTGTGATAATTAGAGCACCTTGCCTGGAGTCAGGAAGACTCATCTTCCTGGGTTCAAATCCAGTTTCAGATACTTTCTAGCTGTGTGACCTTGAGCAAGTCACCTAACCCTGTTTGCTTCAATTTCTTCATCTGTAAAATGCTCTGGAAAAGGAAATGACAAAAACCACTTCAGTAGTTTTTGCCAAGAAAACCCCAAATGGGGTCATGAAGAGTAGGATATGTCTGAAAAACAACTGAACAATGAACATTTATCCCTACGTTATTGTGAAATTGTAGTCTTTTGATACTTGGGCATATCCAGGATTTCATCAGTTTTGATACCAATTGGAACTCCTCCATGACTTCTCATCATGTTTGATTCTTGTCCAGTCCTCCTCTCCCTTTCCCACCTCCGACTCCCAAATACCCTGTACCATAAATACTAGAGTCTGTTTTCTTGAAGTTTTAGATTTTGGAGAAGTCGACCTCCACTAAAGACCTGCTCTGATGTTGGATCATGGTATAGGGAGCCCTGGTTCTAGAAGAATAGGCCTTCAGAGTAAAAGCTCTAGCACATCTCCTCAAGCTGGAAAGGCTATAAGGATAATCCAGCAATAGATTGTATTTGTCATTCAAGGACTAGGCTGGCTACACATAGAATGCGTCCTCACTATCAGGGGGACAGACAGATTATTCTTACTTTTGGTCATATCAATTTATGGAACTGACAAATAATATGGATTACAATAACTTTCTTTTTATTTCTTTCTCTAGAACCATCGCTTCTCCAGTAGTTTTTACAATGATTTAAATGGTGTGATGACAATCCAAGCAAAACCCCTTCAACAGAGACATACGCATTTTGCAGACAGGACACCGTACGTATGGGAAACGACTCAGTCTCAATTCTCCTGAGCCTAAGGCTTTTGGGGATAGGAAGGCTGTGAGAGATGCCATTTAGTTATAAACAAATATGCCTAACTTCCTGGCTGAGAGCAACACAGCCTGGGGATTGTAAAGTACAGTAAGTGTTGGTCTGTGTGTACTTCGTTGTTACTAAGGCCAAAGAGGTATAGAATGTCAGAGCTAGAAGGAACTTGAGACACCATTTAATCCAAATCCCTAACTATACAGATAAGGGAAAATGAAATCATGGAAGTTAGGAGCCTTGCCCAATATTACTAAGCTATTTAGTGATGGTGCCAGAACCCAAACTCAGATTTCTTGACTCATGACTTCATGGAAATTTGTTGAAAAGAACCTTATAGAAATTGCCTAGTCCTAGTTCTTAACTTGGGGTCCATGGATAGATTATAGGGGGTCTGGGAAATTGGTTAAGGAAAAATGACATCTCTATTTCAATATAATGAGTTTCCTTTGTAATCTTATGTATTTTATGTATCTAAAAACATTTAGAAAAGGAGTCCACAGGCTTAAATGACAAAGGGGGTATTAAAAAAGTTTACTAACCTCAGTTTTAGTCTGCCCCACAATTCAATTCTCTTCCTTTCACCTATACTTTGTTATCTCCTAACCTGTATTCTCACCTCTTCTCTTGATCCATGTCTATCTACCCTAATGGACTCCAATTTTATAACATAAAGTAATAGACCTGTGTCAGGGAAGAATGGGCCAGTAGTAGTGGAGGCAGTTGATAGCTGACTTTTAGACTCAGGGGCTAATTTCCCATGAAACCCATGGCATAAGGAAGAGGTGGAAGAAGTGGAGAAAATGAAGAAGATAATATGGAGGACATACTCTCTAACTTAACCCTTTGGGTGCTGGGTTTTTTTTTGTTTGTAAACAATGAAAAACCTCAGTGCATTTCTACAAGGACTCTTTGATCTAGATGGGAGCAATATATAACTTGAGCTTTCTTCCCTAGGCATGATCAAGGTGACAGACTGCTGGTTGTAGGTTCCAGTGTTCTCTCCTCAACTCGGCATCGGTTGGGGCAAGTCTCAGATTACAGTGTTCTCTCCTCATCTCGGCCACTCCCTATGTCTGCAAGGAAGACACCTGTCCACAGGAGGCTGCCATCTCTCTCTTCAGATCTGCATCAATCGAAAACCTCCAATGTGCACAGTGATAAAGTTCTCAGGGGCAATAAGTTGTAAGTCTTGTTTCCTTCTTGTGAAACTGAATATTACCTTGAACAAAAGCATTTTTTTTTCCATCAGGGCTGAGTGGATGTTATCTTGAAGGAGTTGAAATCTTAAGTAACTTCCTTCTGAGATTAATTCAATTAATTCCAGTTTTTCCTGCATGTATTTTCTTTGTATGTTGCTGTTTCCATGTCATTCCTTCCATTAGACTGTGAGCTCCTTGAGAACAGGAATTGGTTTTTTTGCCTTTCTTTGCATGCCTGATATTTAGCACAGTGCCTGGCACGTAGTGAGTCCTTAGTAAATACTTGTTGATTGTTTTTGTTCAGTTGTCCAGTCATGTTCAACTCTTTGTGATCACATGGACCATGGCACACCAGGCCCTTCCCTCCTCCACCATCTCCCAAAGTCTGTTCAGGCTTATATTCACTGCTTCTATAACACTACCTATCCATTTCATTCTCTGCCATCCCCTTCTTCTTTTACCTTCACTATTTCCCAGCATCAAAGTCCTTTCCAATGAGTCCTGTCTTCTCATTATGTGGCCAAAGTATTTAAGGTTCAGCTTTAGTATTTGTTCTTCTAATGAATAATCAGAGTTAATTTCTTCAAGTATTGACTGATTTGATCTCCTTGTCCTCAAAGGTCTTCTCTAGCACCACAATTTGAGGGCATCACTTCTGTGGTGCTCAGCTTTCCTTATAGTCCAACTTTCACAGTCATATTTTACTACTGGAAAAAAAAAAACGTAACTCTGACTTTATGGACTTTCATTGGCAAGGTGATATCTCTGATTTTTTGTATGCTGTCCAGATTTGCCATAGCTTTCCTTCAAAGGAGCAAGTGTCTTAATTTCATGGCCATAGCCACTGTCTACAGTGATCTTTGAGTCCAAGAATATAAAATCTCACACTGTTTCTATTTCTTTTACCTCTATTTGGCAGGAAATGTAGGACCAGATGCCATGAGCTTAGCTTTTTTAACCTTAAACTTCAAGCAAGCTTTTACAGTCTCCTCTTTTACCCTTATCAAGAAGCTTCTTAATTCTTCTTCACTTTCTGCTATCAGAGAGGTATCAGCAGCATATCTGAAATTATTAATATTTATCCAAGCGACCTTAATTCTAGCTTTTGATTCATCCAGCTTGGAATTTCATATGATGTATTCTGCTTATAAGATAAATAAATAAAGTGACACTATACAACCTTGCCATACTCCTTTTCTAATCTTGAACCAATCAGCTGTTACATGTTTGGCTCTAACTGTTGCTTCTTGACCCATGGACAGGTACTTCCATCTCTTTGAGGACTTGCCACAGTTTGCTCAGATCCACACAGTCGAAGGATTTAGTGTAGTCAATAAAGGAGAAGTAGATCTTTTCCCCCCTGGAATTCCTTTGCTTTCTCCACAATCCAGAGAATGTTGGCAATTCGGTCTCCGGTTTGTTTGCCTCTTTGAAAAACAGTCTACCTTTCTGTTAATTTCCTTATCATATATTACTGAAGACTAGCTTGCAGAATCTTTGCTGGTATGTGAAATGAGTACAATTCTCTGATAGTTCAGGCATCCTATGACATTGCCCTTCTTTAGGATTGGGACATAAACTGACCTTTTCCAATCCAGGGGCCACTGTTGAGCTTTTCAAATTTGATGGCAGATTGAGCCCAACATTTTAACAGTGTCATCTTTTAGGATTCTAAACAGTTCAGCTAGAATACTATTACTTCTATTAGCCTTGTTGCTAGCAATGTTTCCTAAGGTCCACTTGACTTAACCTTCCAGGATTATCTGGCCCCAGGTGTGGTTATCAGTGTATGTTAAGATCTTTCTTGTATAGTTCTTTTGTATATTCTTGCCATCTCTTCTACTTCTATTAAGTCTTTACCATTTTTGTCTTGTATCATGCCCATTTTTGCATGAAACATTCCTCTGATATCTCCAATTTTTCTGACAAGATCTCTTATCTTTTCTATTCTATTGTTTTCTTCTATTTCTTTGTGCTGCTCATTTAAGAAAACCTTCTTACTTTTCCTTGCTATTCTGTGGAATGCTGCATTTGGTTGAGTGCATCTTTCCCTTTCTCCTTTGCTTTTTTCTTTCCTTCTTTCTTTATCTGCTTATAAAGCCTCATCAGACAGCCAGAACCTTCTTGCTCTTCTTTATATTTGGGATGTTTTTTGTTGCTGCCTCTTGTACTATACTGTGAACTTCTGTCTATAGATCTACCGTATGTAATCCCTAAAATCTTTTTGACACTTCCACTTCATATTCCTAAGGGATATTATTTAGGCCATATCTATGAGATCTGATGGTCTTCCCTACTTTCCTCAATTTAATGTCTAAATTTTGCAGTAAGAAGCTCATAATTTGAGCCACAGTCAGCTCCTTGTCTTGTTCTAACTAACTGTATAGAGCTCTTCTACCTTTGGCTGCAAAGTATATAGTCAATCTGATTTTAGCCCTGTCTATCTGGTGATGTCCATGTGTAGAGTCACTTTTTGGGTTGTTGAAAAATAGTCTTTGCTATAACCAGTGAGTTATCTTAACAAAAGATATTAGTCTCTGTCCTACCTCATTTTGCACTTCAAGGGCAAACTTACATGTTATTCCAATTATCTTTTTTTAAAATTATTATTATTTTTAGGCAATTGGGATTAAGTGACTTGCCCAGGGTCACACAGCTAGTAAGTGCCAAGTGTTTGGTCTAAGGCCGGATTTGAACTCAGGTGCTCCTAACTTCAGGGCTGGTACTCTATCCACTGTGCCACCTAGCTACCTCCAATTATCTTTTGATTTCCTATTTTAGCATTTAAATCCCCTGTGATGAATATGACATCTTTTTGGTGGTGTTATTTCTAGAAGTTGTAGATCTTCATAGAACTGAGTAACTTTGGACTCTTCAGCATCAGTGGTTGGAACATAGACTTGTATTACAGTGATGTTGAACAATTTGCCTTGGATTCAAACAGATATCATTCTATCATTTTTGAGATTGTATCTCAGTACCATTTTTCCTCATCCTTTTATTGACTATGAGGGCTACTTCATTTCTTCTAAGGGATTCTTGTCCACAGTAGTATATGTAATGATCACCTGAATTAAATTCATCCATTCCCAGATATTTAAGTTTACTGGCAACCAAGATTTTGAAGTTTAACCTTCTCACCTCCTTTTTGACCACATTCTGCTTACCAAGATTCATAGGTCTCATATTCCAGGTTCCTATGCAACACTTATCTTTACAGCATTGGACTTTCCTTTCGTTACCAGACACATCTGCAGCTGAGCTTCATTTTGGTTTTAGTCCAGCTGCTTCACTCTTTCTGGCACTATTTGTAGTTGCCCTGTGCTCTTCCCCTTCTGACCTTAGGGGCTCATCTTCTGATGTAATATATTTTAACATTTTAGTACTGTCCATTAGGTTTTCTTGGCAGAGATACTGGAGTGGTTTGCCATTTCCTTCCTCAGTGGATAATCTTTTATCAGAACTCTCCACTATGACCAGTCCATCTTGGGTAACCCTGCATGGCATAGCTCATAGTTTCACTGAGCTATGCAAGCCCCTCCACCATGACAAGGAAATGATCTAGGAGGGCTTGTAGATTAAATGTCTCTAAATCAGGAGTTCTTAATGATTGTGTGTGCACACACGCGCGTGAGTGTGTTATGGACCTCTCAGGAAGTCTAGTGAAACCTATAAACTCCTCATGTTTTTAAATGCATAAAATGAAAAAAAAAATAGGATTACCAAGGAAGTCAAAATTTAGTGAAAAGAATGATGCATTTTTTTCTCATCCAAGTTCATGGACTCACTGAAATCTAATCATAGATTACCTGGGGCTTATGGTTCCTAGGGTTATAACTCTTCCTTTAAATGAGTACTGAGCATTTTGAATATTTGACATTTATCATAGAAAAGAACATTGAAACAAACTTGACCTCTTCCAGCATCATAGATCATAGGATAACAGATTTAGAATTGGAAAGGATCTTTGAGACCATTGAGTCCAATTCCCCTCATGAGGAAACTGAGCCATGGAGAGGTGAAGTGACTTGTCTGGGATAATACAGTTTTAAGTATCTGAGGCAAATTTTGAACTCAGGCAACTTAATTTGAAATGGGAAAGTATTTAAGACATAGGTATCTGGGGAAAATGAAAGGAAAAAAATGGATGAAGTAGATACATATTTCCCCGATGACCTCTGTTGTACCTTTTTTTCTTTCGAGCTCCCCATCGCTTATAATGGAATGTGCTCACAGCCATTTATCTCTCCCTTGATGTCTGTATGATATTCATTTTCATTTCATCAGAAAAATATATGATAGGAAAAAAAAGAGGACTTGTCATGTGATTAGGGAAAACAGACGGATAGTCACAGTGCCCCAGCAGTGTCTTTATGATGTCCGGAGAAATAGAAGAAGACCTTAATTGGGTGAGTGCGTTCTGGAAGCACATGGGAGCACACAGACAAGAGTCACCCAGGATGGGCAGGCATGGGCAGGTTATGTTTTGTACAGCTGGCAGAAACTCTCAGATTGATGAGTTCACAGATCCATTTGAGAAGTAAGTTAATTAACAATGGGCTTGGGGAACTTAGAGGTGGTAAGGAAATGGAATGTTCATCATCTGAAATGACTTTTCTCTCGGTTTCCTATACCTGCACTTTCTATATAGGTTATTTGATCTAAATTGTATGCAGAGAGCTTTTCTACCACTTTTCCCCAAATTTCTTACTGCCAGCCCTTCCTAATGCTTCTGTTTTTTAGTTTTTAATTTTTTTCTAACAGTTTTTATTTTATTAATGTATTCTGATTTATCAACAATCACTTCCATAGGCTTTTGAGTTTAAAATGTTTCTCCCCCTTCCTCCCCAAGACAGCACACAATCTGACATAGGCTATATATTTACATTTCTATTAAACATATTTTCACATTAGTGATGTTGTTAAGTAAAAATTAAAACCAATAGGAGGAACCATCAGAAAGAGGAAACAAAACTCAACAGAAGAGAAAAAAAAGTAGCAATTCAATTTCCATAGTTCTTTCTTTGGATGTGGATAGCATTTCCCATCACGAGGCCTCTGGAGATGTCTTAGATCCTTGTAATGCTGAGAAGGGTTCAGTTTAACAATATTAGTCATCGCATAATGTGGCTGTTATTGTGTACAAAGTTCTCTTGGTTTTTATATAGTATTCCATTACATTCACATACCACAACTTGTTCAGCCATTCTCCAATTGATGGGCATCCTCTCAATTTCCAATTCTTTGCCACCACAAAAAGAGCTACTATGAATATTTTTGTACATGTGGGTCCTTTTCCCATTTGTATGATCTCTTTGGGATATAGCCCCAGAAGTGCTATTGCTGGGTCAAAGGGTATGCACATTTTTATAGTCCTTTGGGCATAGTTCCAAATTGTTCTCCAAAATGGCCTAATGCTTATTTTCTAGAGGATCTTTGAAAAAGATTCAAATTTGTCTAACTGCCAATACTTAGGGGGCAGTCTTTCTATAAGGTTTTTAAGCTTTTTCTTGAGAATGTTTCTTTTATGCCTGACTAATTTGGATTATGTGACAAGTGAATAATAATTACATAGTTATTCCTTGATCACAGTGGAAGCTTTATCCTGATTTCAGAGCTAAAAGATTATTCTGGAGATAAAAAAAACAGAGGCCAGTAGAGCCTAAGTGACTTGCCCATGGTCACACAGGTAGGAAATGGAAGAGCTGAGATTTGAACTCAGGACCCTAGACTCCCAGGACCATGCTTTCCTTGGTGCCTTTGCTTATTTTATTTCATTGTTCTGGAATGCCTTCCTTCTTTTCTTTCATTTTTTAACCCACATTCTACATATGCTTCACCCCACAATTCAAGGCATAGCAACTCCATGATGCTGCCCTGACTTGATCCTTCCTTTTCTCTCCAGCAGTGGTTCTTAACCTGTGGTCAGTAAACTTGATATACATACATACACACTCATACACAAAAATACACACACATATACTATATTTCTACGTACATATGTATATAATGTAAATATATGTGAGTATATATACTTATATATTTTTTTAATATATGTATAATGTAATATATGTAAATAAGTATATGTGTATATTTCAATGTAATTATTTTTCTTTGGAATCCCATGTGTTTTATTTTATACATTTTTAAACCTTTATTCCATAGGCTTTACCAGACTGCCAAAGGAATTGGTGATACAAAAAAGTTTCGTAAACCCTGCATGTTAACATGACCTTAACCACACAATTTAGTACTAAATTACATAATGTCTTCCATTCTGTAAATCTTTCATATGTAGGTAGTCTTGTTGCCCAAATAAATTGCCATTTCTTTGATCCTAAGGGCTGTTATAGGTCCTCCTTATTCCCTACAGAGTCCAGCAACATTGAGGACTTAGAGAACACTAAATAAATGTTTCATTTGATAGGAAGCCTGGATTCTTTAGTGTTGTGCTCTTTAAAGGCTAGCAAAAGCCTTAACTCTTGTCCTAATAGAGGTCAATAATTTCAAATAGTTATAAAACATATCAATTGATATTTGTTTGTTTTAAATAATATTTTGGTTACAAAACTGGTTCTTGATAAAGTAGGTCATCTCTTTTAGGGCTGTGTATCTTATGTCTCTGTTTCCTCATCACTTCATACAACAAACAAATGAATAAAGCATTTATTAAGCCCATATTATTATGTGCAAAGCCCTGAGTTAAGCTTGGAGATACAAATAGAAAGGTAAGACAGTCCTTGCTTTCAAGAAACTCACAATCTAGTGGGAGACACAACACATTATAATGCCTTGTATATAGTAGGTACTTAATAAATCTTTATTTGTTACATTGGTTTTTACAGGCATATTGGCTCAGACTGCTTGTCTTCTCCATCGGTTCAAGTGCCTCGAAACAGGCTACCACCCATAAGCTCAGAGGCTGGTGAACAGAACACTGCTCCTCCTGGATCCCGCCAAGCCTTTGTAAGATTTACTTTATTGTATGCTAATAAAGTCAATAAGAGGCAGTAGGGCATAGAAGAAAATGGGCCATCCTCAGAGTGAGAAGACCTAGCTTCAATTCCAACCTCTGAAACAAACTAGCTGTATTACCTTGGGCAAGTCAATCAACCCTTTAGTGCTCCCAGGTCACTCTACTACTATACTCTTAAGATGCCTGTCTGTATCAGTGGAATTTGTTTCCACACTGGGAATTCTTTACACTGCTGAAGTCACAATGTGTGGGACAGTGACCACCCACTCAAAATAAAAACAAAGACTTAGATACCTTGAAAGCAGAAAGGAGTTTATTGCTTTCTCATGAGAAAGGGTACCACCCCTAGTTGCCATTGCCGGCTAGGAGCCGCACCCTTGGCTTTTTATCCCCTAACGAAATGCCCCTTCCCACTCTCTTACCCCTTTCTCCTTTGACTGTGTACTCAGTGTGTACATTCTAAACAAGTGGCAGCTAATACCCAATAGAAGTAAACATGCCCATGTTTGGACTAGACACATATGTGTACTAGGAAGTAGCAGCGACCAGGCACCAAGCTCCCCCACCCATGCTGATGTGCTCCTGGAGAAATAGAAGCTTACTGGGGAAAATGGAAACTCAACTCAAGGCTTTCTGGAGGAACGAAACTTAGGCCTGTGGGAACTGCCCTGCAGGCCATCTCTCACACTCAGGCAGAGTGCAGGAGAGAGAGAGAGGAGCATAGCAGGGAGGTAAGAGTGTAGCAGGGAGATACTAATGAGGAAACTTCACTGGGAGCCATCCCTCACGACAAGAACAGATCACCAAAAAAAGTAGCTGTTAAGTGAGCATTGGGAAGAATTTAATGCTTATAACAGAAATCAGTAACAGAATAGAATGCTATGATGGGCTCTACTTAAAATTATTTCCATGAGCTTTGGGGGGAGTGTACCATATAAATTAATTAAAGTTGAATTAAAATCAATTTTATACCATTTTTTAAATGGAAGAAAATACTGGTTTAGGACAATGCAATCATGGAATTGAGTTAATATGTCTAGGTGTCAAATGGATATTCATTTTTTAAAGAACAGTATAACATTTTCATTTAATTGGAAGTGGTGTGGTCCAGCAGAAGGAAAATTGGTTTGGGAGTAAGAAGACCTGGGTTCAGGTACCTGGGTTCGAATTCCAGCTCTGCCACTTACTACCTGTGTGACCTGGGGCAAATCACCTAACCTCCCTATACCTCAATTTCCACATCTGTAAAATGGCAGGATTGGACTAGATAAACTTCCAGCTTCACTGGAGATATTCAGTGGAGAGATATTATCTTCATGGAGTCTAGCAGCCTGTTCTGAAAAGGCTAGGATTATACATTTGGAACTGGAAGGGACCTCAGGCCATCTAATCCAAACTCCTCGACTTTTCAAATTAGGAAACTGAGGCCTAGAGAGGTTCAATGATTTGTTCAAGGGTAATAGGGGCAAGCATCAAAGGTAAGAGTTAAACTCAGATCCTCTGACCAGGAGCCAGGGATCTCTGCACTGTGTTGTGCAATCTGAGGCTTAGCTTATTAAACTTCTTTTTTTTCAAATTATCTTCTTATTATATATATGTATATGTATATGTATGCATGTATGTATGCATGTATGTATGGCACTTGTAATGTTGAAAAAGAGAGCTTGTTCGAGCAGTGACCAAGGTCTTCCAGGACTGGAGGAAAGGGCAGGAATCTGAAGGTGGATGGTCATGCTCAGTGAAATATGTTATTTCTTGAACATAGACAAGTGTTGCAAGGCTTGTTTGGTTGTACTATTATAAATCTATGGCATGAGATGAGGTGCTGGAAGGAGGTGAGGGAAGGCTACAGAGAAGGAGAAGGAGGAAGAGCGCAACAGACACCTCCCCACGTTGCTTTGCATAGGTTGGGGGAAGGGTTGGGTTATGGGTACAGCACATTGCATATGACACCAGTGGGTTTTAAAAAATATATTGATGAGCTTTGCTGAGTTCATTTTTTTGCTTTTTCCTCTCTTTTCTTTGTTTTTATTGGTTTTTAAATTTTTTTTTGTTGTGGAAGGTGGCTGTCTGAGAAGAGAGGAGAAGAAAGGAGATGGGGGAAATATTAAAAGAAAAGACAGTAATAAAAATTTATTTAAAAGACTAAGTAAGCTTAGCATTGTAGCTTACATGTCCTATACACTTAATAATTGATTCAAAGTGCCATCAGATCACAGGATTTTGAGTTTTGAGGGGTCTCAGAGAACATATAGTTTGCCCCCTCATTTTACAGATGAGGAAACTGAGGCCCAGGAAAGTGAAGCTTATACAAGTAGTGAGTATTCTAGCCCAGAATCAAACCCAGTCAAATCTGACTCCAAGCCCAGTTTGATTTCGACTGTCCCACAATGGCTCATGTACTGAGGGCTCAAGAAATACTTGTGGAATGAATAAAGTGAATTAGTTCAGTTAGCTATGCTAATGATGAAATTTGTGGCCAACTTGGATTTACTGTTTGTTTGTTTTTAATTTAAGCACAGAGGAAGACATCCTCAAAACCAAGTGTTAAGTGCTGTGCCTGGCAATATTGAGACACCACCTCTCCGGGAAAGGACTGTTATCTCTGAGCAATTTTCAAGGCCTAATACCACTCAAACCTTCAGGGTAGGGTCTGGCTCTGATCAGAGATTCTTTTTTGGAAGAATTTCAAGCATTGTAAACATTTTCCCCCCTCTATTCTCCCATCAGTCTGATACTCCTCACAAAAGGTCGTTGACACCAATGGAATTTGGAAGCCACATGTGGACAGGTCAGGGTTTCTTAACAGGTGAGTAAAAGTTTTTTATAAAACTTTATTTTAAATTATTTTGACACATTTCAAAATACTCAGGGTAGTTCTGAATAGTTTTAAAAAATTTTGTCTTAGCCTATCCGCTACATGCAAGTCACATTTTTCTATTTTTTTTTTAAAATTTCTCTTCCTTTTTAATCATCTCAAAGCTATTAAGACATAATACAACACTTCCCCTTCCTGTCCTCTCCCCTCTTCCAAAGAAAATGAAAAATAACACTAGTTGGTTGACAAATGAAATTTCTGCTTAATTTTTTTTTTTTTAGTTTTCAGCATTTTTTTTAAAAATGAATTTATTTTTAGTTTTTGGCATTCTCTTTTTTAAGATTTTGAGTTCTAATTCTCCCCTCCACTTCTCTTTCCCCAAGATGGCATGCAATCTGATACAGGATATACATGTGTGTATTATAATACTAATATTATATAATGTATATATATTATATGCTATTATATATAATAATATATGTTATATATAATGTATAATATAATAATTATAATAATTCCACATTGGTCATGTTGTGAAAAAAGAATCAGGACAAAAGGGAAAAACCATGAGAAAGAAAAAAAAATGAGAAAACAGTATGCTTCAATCTTCATTCAGACTCCATAGTTCTTTCTCTGGATTTAGATAGCATTTTCCATCATGAGTCTTTTGGAATTGTCTTCAATCATTGTATTGTTGAGAGGAGCTATATCATTCATACTCGATAATAGCACAACGTTGCTGTTACTGTGTGCAATGTTCTCCTGGTGGTTCTATTCACTTCACTCAGTATCAGTTGATATAAATCTTTTCCAGGTTTTTCTGAAGTCTGCCTGCTCATCACTTCTTATAGCACAATAGTATTTCATTACATTCATAAACCATAACTTGTTCAGCCATTCCTGAAATGATGGGCACCCCTTCAATTTCCAATTCTTGGCCACCACAAAAAGAGCTGCTACAAATATTTTTGTACATGTAGGTCCTTTTCCCTTTTTTGATGAGTCACATTTTTCTGTAGGGCAATTAGTACAAAAGGACATTTTATTTTAGGAACAAAATTGTCCTGTCGAGATATTCTATGCATGCCATCTTGGGGTGGGGGGAGGGACGAGATGGGGAGATAATTTGGAAATTAAAGTCTTGTGGAAGTGAATGTTGAAAACTAAAGATAAATAAATTAATAAAATTGGAAAAAAATAAAAAGAGATATTCTAGCTGGCCTGGTTAATCATTTTCATAAGCAGTGAACAACTGCCTCCATCAGTGAAGTAACAATCACTCTAATCTTCCTTTGTGACAGGTCTCTGATTTTATTGATTTCCCATCACCATCTACTGAAGTAACTCTATGATTTGGGTAACATGGTATCTGGCTAAAGTTGAAGTCAAAGTCCATGGGAATTCAGACCCCAGCTCTGTTATTACCTATATAAGGGGCTGATCTTGGACAAATCAAGTAACCTTTCGGGACCTCAGTTTCTTCTTCTGTAAAATGGGGGAGTTAGACTAGATGATTTGAGATTTCTTCCATATTCTAATTCTATGATCCTATGAACTAAGAGAAACATGAGCCAGTTATTAAGACATTATATATATGTATCTATATATCTCTATCTCTCTCTATCTATCTATCCATCTATCTATCTATCTCTATGGAGTAGGTGTTTGTTGAATAAAAAGCACAACATAGTGGATAAAAGGCCGGCTAAAGACCTGAGTTTAAGCCCTGCCTCTGAAACTTATGGGTTGTGTGACCCTGGGTGAGTCACCCAACTTCTTGGTCCCTCAGGCAACTCTGTATGATTCTGATCTGAGTTTGTAGAGGGGATTTCCTATCTGGGAGTTCTCTCTGCCAGTGAGATCCCAAGACTAGTCCCTAACCCTATCTGTATGTATATATTGATAGCTAATTAATTTTCTCACCATACCATGCCACTCAGTTGATGAGATCCTACCATTCCATAGAGGATGATTATGCCTGTTTTTCCAGTGAATTCTGGTGGACCTTTAAGTATTAGTGCTATTTATATTTAAGCTGTTTATGATGGACATCTTTCTAAAGATGGATCACACAATTTCTGCCTTAATAAATAGATAATAATAAACAAACTTCAAAATGTAATTTAATAATGGGGGGAGCACAGCTGATGGTACAGTGGTTGGGGTGCCAGGTCTAGAATCAGGAAACCCTAAGTTAACACACTTACTAGCTGTGTGACCCTAGGCAAGTCATTTATCTGTCTTTGCCTAAGTTACCTCTACTGTGAAATGAAGATAATAATAGCACCTACATCGCAGGGTTGCTGTGAAGATCAAATGTGATAATACAGTTGTCCCATCTACAGTGAAGGGGTTAGGGATGCCACACCTCCATGATCTGGAAAACCCATGTAAAATTTTTTGGTCCTCCCTTCATAGCAGAGAAGGTGTCTGAATTTTTTTTTCTTTCATGAGGTGTTTACAGTATCTTATTGTAAAATCTGGGTTGCTATTACACAATACTATACATATATTTTGTGCATTTCTGAGTTTCTAAACTTTTTCTGTGTCACCTCTGGGTTTTTGCGCATCATCTGCGGCTTCTGCAAAACTCCCCCAAAATTCCCATTTAATTTCTTATGTGACCTGTAACATATTGAAACCATGATGGGGAAAGTCACGATGTGGAAGGGATAACTGAATTTGTAAAAAGTGCTTGACACATATAGTAGGTGCTCTATAAATGCTTATTTCCTTCCCCCTTAATCTCCAAGAATTTATATTTTAATCAGCGTGGGTAGTTCTTCCACTGATGAAAAGCTCAACAGCCCTGTAAACAACTTGGCAGATAGTCTATGAAACTTGTCGTAGCCCAAAATGTTGTCCCATTGAAGTTAACCTGGCACGGAGCTCTTGAACACTCAGAATACCAATATACAGTGATGGAAGGAGTTTCCACATTGGATGTTTCCCACTGTCAAATAGTCAACAAGCATTTATTAAGTGCCTGTGATGTTCCAGGCCTACAATATTATGTGTACCCGTACTGATGAAATTAGAGGTCAGGACAAAAAAGAGAGAGAGAGAGAGAAGAGAGAGAGAGAGAGAGAGAGAGAGAGAGAGAGAGAGAGAGAGAGAGAGAGAGAGAGAATTCACTATATCATCACAATTCTTCAGTGAAAATGTTATATTAAATCATGGATTTAAAGACCTCAGTTTACCTCTTTTTTGATATCATTGTCTTTTCTTAGACTTTTCCCTATATTTGTGATTTCAGGTTCACAGCATCTACCTAAATCTTATCAAAGAAATACCTCAACTTCAAGGAGGAGATTTCCAGTGGCTTCCTGATCCAACTTGGCTGCTCAGTCACTGTGCTCAGTGAAATCTGCCAACTGTCAACTTACTCTTCATTACTTAAGAAATAACAGCAAGTATTATGCTATCTTGATGTGTTCTTTTGTCTCCTGGCCCTGGAGACAGGGCTCTTGGAGAAAACCAATCATAATAAACGCATCCATTTTTAACTGGAATGTGCCGTAACTTTGCATCATCTGTATGACATAATCCAAACATACACACAGGACTTTTGGGGTTTGGGACATGGTATGCATCTGTATGGTTTCTGCTTCTGATGTTCAAAGATATGACCCATGTAGACTTGGGCAAACCACTTAATCCTTCTGACTGTGATCCAGCATTTTAAAGCTATTGGTTGACCTTTATTCTAATTCATGTACAAGATTTGTGATTTTTAAAAAGACAACAAACCAGCTTGGTAATTTTTTTTATCCGAGTATACTTACAGTTTTCTCATTGCAGCACAATCCCACTAAAATTTTGTAGCATTTCTCTCTTTAAAAAGACTCATCTAACTTTGATGAACTTCAGAGATCTATGACCTCAGTATGCGTGCTTTTCCCACCAGTATAAATCAGAAATGTTACTCATTCTAAGTAGACAGTCTTTGTGGGTCACTCCGGCCACAAATCTTCATCTCCTGGTGGCCAACCTCCTAATAAAGAGCCCCTTTGAAATTAGTCGCATAGGTCCTTAGGCGACAGACACAGTTTCTGCCAGCAGATCTATTCTCAAAACCTTTCCAGATTAGAAGAACCTGCCAGAGCTTACCCTCTGATGCATTCAAGAGTTATAGGTTCTTAGCTTATGACTGTGAAACCTCAGAGGAGGACTTCAGTGGTGGCCATGTGTAACATGTGACATGGTTTGAATAAGGCCCTCTTTTTCAAATCCAACATTTTCTTAATTTTTTTTTAAAACAGGCTCAAAACAGGTATCATTTAAGAAAGATGACAGTGGCTAGTTTAAAAAACTATTTTTTTTACCAGTTTTCTTTTCTTCTTACTGTTTAGGATGCTATACTTATGACCAATGAAGTTTTTAAAAAAAAATTCTTTTTTTATATCAACTTCATTTCCCAGTATATCATTCTCCCTGCCCTCCCAGAGAGCTATCCCTAATAACTAAGAAGAAAAAAAGAACCGAAAAAACCCCAACCTAGCAAAATTTACCAATGCATCAACCAAGTCTGTCTTTATATATTCAGTTTTGTGCATCTATAGCTCCTTACTTCTGCAAAGAATGAAGGGTATTTTACTCTTATATCTCCTCCTTGGGGCCCAACTTAGTCATAGTTATCTGGCATTCAGCTTACATGCTTGTTTTCATCATCATTCTACCCTGGTCACATTGCTGAAGTCATGGCATCCGTTGTTTTCCTCATTCTGCTTAGTTTATTTTGTGTCAGTTCATAAGTCTCTATGTTCCTATGGTGTGGGCCAGGAAACTAATGGAAGTGGGGAGGTATAAGTTAATTCCACACATTTCCACAATATTACCCAAGCCTGTTATAAGCAAGGAAAGCTGTGGGGCAGACTTGGGGTGGTTTGAGTTCACTTTGCCGCCAGATGGATTGAGCCAGGACCCACATTTCATCACCTTGCAGGAGACGAGGACGGTATACAAATGTATGTATAATTTGGATTTAGGCAGCGAGCTCCAGTGACCCCAGGGAACCTTCTTGCCTGCTGCTGTTCATTTCTTTGCTAGTGGCTTTTTTTCTTTAGAAACTGCTCTTGAATGACTTTAGAAACTGCTTTTACCTAGGAGTATTGGAATATATTTTAGGAAAAGGAGGGTTTGTTTGAATGCTTAAGCTATGAGTGATCTATTGCAGCAGACACAAATCACAACCAGGACATTCTCTGTATCTTTTGTTATCACCATCACTTATGACATAATATTCCATAATGTTCAGGTACCACAGTTTGTGATTTCACCTTTGATTGGCATCCAATTTGTTTCCAACTTTTTGTTATTATATATTATTGTGTAATAATAGTACTATATGTATGTGTGTATATATATATATACATACACACATATGCGTGTGTGTGTATTATTGTGAGGCAGCTGTCTGCACTTTAACCCAGTATAGTCATAAGCACCGTTAATAATAATAATAATCTATATATATGTGTGTTTGTATGTGTATGTATTATATATGTGTGTATATATGTATGTGTGTATTTATCTATTTACTGTCTATCTATATCTATCTATCTATCTATCTATCTATCTATTTACTATCTATCTATCTTCTACATATGTTAAGCACTGTTAAGCATATACCCCAAGGAGGTCACCAAGAAACTAGACTTTTAAATTGAAGAGCAATTGCCAATCTTCAATGATAGAGAAAATTCCACCCTGGGAACTCTATACATGGATGAAATTGGAGGGCCATATAAACATGGAAATGCCCCATGCCAGCAGCACAGGGAATATACTGACCCTTCCAAACATGTGAGCTGGGGTGAGTAAACAGACTGGTTTCCAATGGAGAAAGCGGTAAATGATGTGATATTCTCAAGGGAAGTTTAGATTTCTAATAAAGTGAAGTGATGTTTGGAATGTTAGATTAAAAGTATCAGAATGAGATCTGGGGGAGATAATTTAAAAATTATTGGGCTAGGGGCAGCTAGGTGGCGCAGTGGATAGAGCACTGGCCCTGAAGTCAGGAGGACCTGAGTTCGAATCCGGCCTCAGACCAAACACTTGACACTTACTAGCTGTATGACCCTGGGCAAGTCACTTAACCTCAATTGCCTTAAAAACAAAACAAAACAAAACAAAAAAAAACCAAAAAAAAATTATTGGGCTACCTGAAAACCATGACCAAAAAAAAGAGCTTAGACATCATCTTTCAAGAAATTATCCAGGAAAACTGCCTTGATATTCTAGAACCAGAGGGTAAAATAGAAATTGAAAGAATCCACTGATCACTTCCTGAAAGAGATCCCAAAATGAAAACTCCCAGGGATTTTGTAGCCAAATTCCAGAGCTCTCAGGTCAAGGAGAAAATATTGCAGCAGTCTGAAAGAAACAATTTAAGTATTGTGGAATCACAATCAGGATAGCACAAGATTTAGCAGCTTCTACATTAAGGGACCAGAGGGCTTGGAATATGATATTCTGGAGGTCAAAGGAGATAGTATTTTTTTTTCTTTTTACCCTGTGGAGGTTTCTTTATTTTGTGGTAAATGCCACTGGTGAGCATACACAACATGGAAAAATTCACCTTCACACACAATCTGGAAGCATTTTGGTCTGGAAAACAGGTTCAACATAATTGAAACAGGCCTGCAAATTTTCAAGTATTTATAAATAATGTTTGTCTCTAAGAAGGTTATAATTGTCCTATGTCTTGTTATTTTCCAGGGCAAATAAATGTGTTCTTTTATGACTGTGTCAAGATACATAACAAAATGAGGACAGGTTAGAAAAGCTGTAGAGGCTTAACTACCTACAGTAATACGAGTTTCCCCTCCCTTATTGAAAATTACATAGACAGTAAATTATCTTAAACTATCAGAGAGCCTCAACACAACTAATGCTCTACTTAAAAAGTATGTACTCTGAGCAACATTACAATTGTAAAGATTTATTTTCTTTCCTTTGAGGATGAGGAACATTTTGTTTGATTGTCCCCCCTAGGGTCTTTTCATTCCAGTGTATGTACCTGCTACATACAAGTTGATGCACAGAGCTAGAGACCACTCATTAATTTACACATGGTATTTAACAACTGTTTCACCTCACCTACATAAGATCCTGCATTGAAAAATTAAGTTAATACAAACTGCAATAATATCAGAAACTTCCTTTTACCTGAATTTTTTTGGAGTTGGATTATGGTGTTCAAGAAATCAAATGGCAAAAGCCAGAAACACTACTTTGCTGTCTTAACTAGAATGTGCAAAAATGTCTCAGTGTTGCTCAAATGCCGCTAAAAAGAAAAGAAAAATCCATGTTTAGGATCTAACCCCCCATCATAAAGAAATTTGGGAAGTGCTTTTCTGTATCTCTCCCAAGTCATGCCTTGTGATTTTAGGTACTAACTGTACTCAAGCTTAGAAGCAGAGGGCTGAGCCACACACACACACACACACACACACACACACACACACACACACACAAAGTTGCTTTAAAATCTGTGGCATATAAAAGTCTAGCCTGGATAGGGGGATTGTAAGCAGTGACAGGACCTTACAAAGCTGATCATTTATTTCTTTTGACTGATTTTATTTCATGTATTAGCATACTTACTATAAAAAAGTAGTAACTTTAAAAAATGGATTCAAATGTTGGTTACAATACTGGCTCATTTTCATGCAAAATACTTAAGAAGTTGAGTTATTTCATTAGTCTAACAGAAGCAAGAAGGAAAAAGTCAATGAGCCAACAGCTGACACAATGTGTATCTCCCTCCAAGGAGATGACGTCATTTTTCCCCATGTTTGAGCAGAAAAGGTAGTGAAACTTAGTATGTACCAAAAAAGAGGATTAAAAGATGAACAGCCCAGATGCTGCCCTGGTCTCTATGAAATACCTCAATATGTAGAGGAAGGAAGGCCATCAGTATATTAGGTAAATCCTTTATGAAAGGACAGGATCAGAAGGGCACAGGAGAGGGAGGTCTAGATGGGTTATCATCTATAGCAGGGGGGTCAAACTCAAGGACAAACATGGCAACTAATCCCTACAAAAGGATCCCTGTGGGCCATATATTGACATAGTTTCAAAATGTACTATTATCTGCCTTATTTTATTTTTATTTATTTTGTTAAGTATTTTCCAATTACATTTTAATCTGAATCAGGTGCACTCAGGAGTGTTGTCGGCTGCAAGGACCTGCAGGTTGCATGTTTGACACCTCCAATCTACAGTAGCACATGTCAATAAGATCAATGAGTATCCACTGAGGTATCCAATCAAAGGAGATAGTATTAAAACCAACAATCACCTACCCAGAAAAACTGAGTTTAATGCATGAGGAAAACTTGACATTTAATGAGATAGATGAATTTTATGCATTCTTGAGCAAAGACCAGAGCTAAATGGAAAATTTGACTTTTAAATATAAGACTCAAGAGAAATATGAAAAGGTTAATGGGAAAGAAAAATCATAAGGGACTTATTAAGGATAAACTGTTTACATTCCCACATGGAA